CATTATATATTTATTGAAAAAAATAATTACAAAATGATTTGTTAAACCATCTTTTCTCTAATTACTTTTTTTTTTTTAACATTTAGACCTATAATGCCCGTACTCGCCACAATTCCCACATTGGTTTTGACATTTTGCCGGCTTTAATTTCTCTGATCACTTGATTCGTTTAGAACTTTTTGGTTGTCCTTTCGTCTTATATTTTTTTGGGTTTTGAAGAGATATATCAGATAATGAATTAGTTTCTTCATATTCTTCATTATCGTCTAAGCTATTACTATATATCTCCTCATTATCATCATTGGCTAGGCTGTTTACTAACTCTTTATCCTGTATTTTAGTTAATAAATTTTGTAGCTTTTCAAGAACATCTTGTCTATGAAGTTGAACTGTCTTTTGCGTGATATTTTGTGCAACTTCCCATAATTCTTCATATAGCTTTCGTTCATTAATGTTTTCCTTTCTTTTGTCCCAGAGATCAGCCGGTATAAACAATCTATTTATGTTAGATCTTGTGAATTCTGTAGGTTGATCTTGAGAAAAGTTCTTACTAAAACGTGTGGCAACATAATAAGGCTCTTCCTGTAAATCGCTATGAATGTTCTTGAACCATCTTTTATGAATATATGTAATATGGAATACAGCTACATGACTACATAGCATCACCTAAAAAAAGTGATGGCAAACTACCCCCACGATTTACAAGCCCCAAACAAGAGCATACATAAGTCTTATCAGAAAGAAGAACAACAAAATGACAAAATGTCGAAGCCATAATTATACGGATGGCCCAGATTTCCTTTATTTCATTGATGTCTATATTTTCCAATATATACTTAATTGAAATTTGTATAATATCTTCATCATCTTCTACAAACAAGATATTATCTAACTCGGGCTTAAATAGAATAAAATTCTGTAAGTTCAGTATTATTTTGCAATATTATTCCTAAAAAACAATACTGTATTTTCGCAAAATAACGCCCCTGCGTGTTATTTCATGAAAATACGGTTATAGTACATACCTCTTGATATTTAATTATTTCATCTTTTGTGATAGCAGATGCATGATAATTTAGGCAACTTTTAATTTCAGCATGCTGAATTTTTTGTATTTTAGACATAATAAACTAACTCAAAGCTTTATCAAGTTCAGGAAATAATATTTGCGGTAATGTAGCGGCAGACGATGTCAATGGAATTTGTGTATTCCAATAAGCATACTTTGCTTTTTTAATCTCCTCTTCTATACTTGCTTCCAAGGCTTCAGCAAGTTCGAGTAGGCTAATATTAGAGTTTAAAACCAGCCTTTTGATCTAAGCGTTGTAACTCTCAACGTGAGACGTTGATTGTATGCCGGCGGTGAATATCTTTGTGGTGTAAGTATATACCCATGCTTTTTTTGAAGAATATAATGTTTTTAGATACTTTACAACTCTAGGCTCATTATATTTCTTAATTAACTGTTTCTATTTTTGTTCAAAAACTTCTGGAACAAGAGAATTTCTAGCAGTGTAAAAATCTTGAACAAACTCCTGATACTGTTAACTCAACTTAGCCTCGAGATTTCGAGAAAGGTTTTGTGATATATAGAATATACAATGCATGGTATAAGATTGTTCATACTCCTCGGAGATTGCAAGATCCAAAGCCGGATTAGCATCGGTTATAATAACAGCAGGTATATAGCCTCCAGTGGCCTGTTTTGTCTGATATAAAACCCACCGATACGAATCTGCTGACTCATCGTTCATAAGTGCACATCCAACTAGTCAGGAAGACCTGTGATTGTCAACACATAAGAAAAGTGAGAGGGCCATATCGTATCAGTTTGTTTTTGCGGTATTATCGCTAAGTATAATATCACAATACTCTATCCAAAGAATGATCTGATCGAGAGACATCCAAAATAGCTTTTGAAGGCTATGTGATTCTCGGTCCCACTCAATTGCAACATACCATCAAGGATCTTTATTTTTTCTTCTTACTAATTCTTCGTACAATGATGCAGCATCATTTAACATATCCTTTCGTTTCCCCTATAATATTTTGCTGTTGCTTTATGAATTTCAGAAAGGTAAACTTTGTGGTCAGGAAATTCTTTTCGTAAAACCCTCTGAATTTGTAGCAGCTTTAACTTAACAGTATTCACATAAAATTCTACCCTATCATACATTTCTTGAGTAAGTTCACTATCATTAAAAAATTTTGTTCTATAAGGGGACAAGTCATGATTATGGCTATTGTCTAAAGTGGTAATATAAACATTTCCATTAGGATTATTTTTCTGTGGTTGTGACAAATTTACATGCCACAGATATTTGATATATTTTGTGCTTGTTTCTTTAGTCAATTGCATGTTTTTAGGTTTATATTCACCACTGTGTTCACACAACATTGTTCTTTTTCGTATAGTTCCATTAGAAGTCTTTTCAACATGTCCTTTCCTTAGCTTAAACCCTTCATATTGAAAATATAGTTTTAATGTATCAGATGCTTCTTCCCAACTTTTAAATACTATTCCTTTGTATAACTTCTCTTTGGAATAGTCCAATTCGACATCTTTATTTTCTTGAACAACAACTACTGAATCATACGTTGGTTCATTAAATTCAAGATCATATATCAGCTCATCAGACTCAAGACCATGTGTTGATTCACCAAACTCAAGATTACCGAGGTCTTTGAAATTGGATATACTTTCATTATACGGCATCTATTTTTTGGATTAAAAGATGTAAGTATAAGGAATAAGATACTATCACAAATCTTCTAGCATTACCAACCTAAAAAACTTCGCTAAGCGAAATTTTTCTAGGTTGGCGATGCTAGAGTCATAATCAATATATTCAGATTAAATTAAGAAGTTTAAACATTACCTCGTTTTTAAAACCTATATTGTTTTGTTATTATGCTTTGCTTATCACTATTCTTTGCTATTACTGGTTTTTATTACAGTTGCTAGAATTGTGTTTTTATTACTAGATAGCAGAGAGAATTTATTTTACTGCCAGGAATATCTTTGTTCTAGTTATCGGCTATATTTTGTAAGCATATTTGATTCAAAATTAAGGATACTAAATTAAAAGTATAAGCTAAAAATAGCGGTAACAAGTTAAAGGTAATAAGTTAGTTAAAGGTAGTAAGTTGATTAAAGGTAGTAAGTAAGTTAAAGGTAGTAAGTAAGTCAAAGGTAGTAAGTTAAAGGTAGTAAGTTAAAAGTAGTAAGTTAAAGGTAGTAAGTTAAAGGTAGTATATAAGTAAGTTAAAGGTAGTAAATTAAAGGTAGCGACAGTAAGTTGGCTAATTCTTACCAAGTTTATTAAAGCTAAAGAGCGTTAAAGAGTAGTAAGTTAAAGGTAATACCGTTAAGTTAAATAAAAATCTTTTATTAATGTTAGGCATAAAAAATACCAGTTAGAAGCTCTTTGTTCGTTGTCACTTTTGCTAAATAAAAACAACAGATATGTAAGATATAAAGATAAGAACTCAAAATAAAAAAATTTGGAGGTACAAAGAAAAAAAATTCCGAGATTCTGCAGTTATGTGTCGGTGTATTGCAAAAATATCCGGTGATCTGGGGGATATATGACCGTGCAGGTGCACAAAAAACATTTTCTCTTAGTAAATTATATATTTAATACATATAAACAGTATTATATATATTATATTTGGATTTTTGTCCTTTTCTTTACTTGTGATTTTTTTATAATAAGCTTTTAGGTATGCATTCGCTGCATCTGTTGGTGAATGATTTGAATATACATATTCATTTTCGTTTAACCCAAATTGTATTTTATACTGAGGTTTCTCATTAAAATAA